TTATTTCTTCTTGAAGTATTGTCCCCTTAATCATAATGTAGTGACCATTGGGGTCTCTTTTTATTTTTTTGAGTTTGAAGTCTGTTTTATCTGATATAAGTATAGCTGTTCCTGCTTTCTTTTTTGGCCCATTTGCTTGTAGGATTGTTTTCCATCCTTTGACTTTGAGCCTATTTTTATCTTTTGTAGCTAAATGTGTTTCCAGGCTGCAACTCTGTGTCTTTTTATTGAAGAGTTTAGTCCATTTACATTTAGAGTTAATATTGATATGTTAGCATCTGTATTTGCCATTATGTTTGTCTTTCCTTTGATTTTATTTATTTATTCTTTTAATAACTTTTTTTTTTTTTTTGGTCTTCTTTCGTTGTTATTCGTCCCTCTGAGGTTCTGGCTTTAGGATTCCTTGTAGTATTTTTTGGAGTGGGGGTTTAGTCGCAATGAAATTCCGGAGTTTCTCTTTGTCTGGGAAGGTCCATATTCTTTCTTCATGGAGGAAAGAGAGCTTTGCGGGATAGAGTATTCTTGGTTGGCATCTGTTTTCTTGGAGTCTGTTGACTATGTCCCTCCACTCTCTCCTTGCCCGTAGTGTTTCTTCAGAGAAGTCTGATGTCAGCCTGATTGGTTTTCCTTTGAATGTTATCTGTTTCTTCCCTCTTGTCAGCTTCATTATTTTTTCCTTGTCCTGGATTCTTGGGAGCTTTACTATTATGTGTCTTGCTGTGTTTTTCCTTTCGTCGTGGAAGTTTGGTGTTCTTCTTGCTTCTTGTATATCAATTTTCAGCTCCTTCTTCTCATTTGGGAAGTTCTCTTCAATTATATCCATGAATATTTTCTCTGTTCCTACATCTCTCTCCTCTCCTTCTGGAATTCCTATAACTCTTATATTTCCTTTCCTCATGGAGTCAGATAGTTCCCGAAGTCTTTCTTCATTCTTTTTCCTTCGTACTTCTCTTTCCTTTTCTGTTTTGGTTCTTTTTATTTCTGTGTCTTCAAGATTACTTATTCGTTCTTCCATTTCATCTATTCTGCTTTCATTGCTTTTCCCAGAGTTCTTTAGTTCCTCCATTAATTCTTTGATCTCCTGCATTTCTCTTACTTCCCTCTTTAGGGACTCAATTTCCTTCTTCTGATCTATCACTTTTTTAATCATGGCAATTTTAAATTCTCTTTCTGGAAGGCTCAGAAGTTCTTCCAAGTTGCTGTCGTTGCAATCTGGGGAGTGGTTTTCTTTTTGTGGTGTGCTTCTTTCCTGAGGAGTTTTTAGGTTGCGTGTGGTTCTTCTACTCCCTGCTGTCTGTTTTCTAATTTGTCGTATGCGTTGGGACACTGTGTTGCTCGGACTGACTGACATCTTGGGTGAACTTCTCCGCTCCCCTCTGGCTCTTCCAGGAGCCATCTCTGTCTTCTGGGGGAGCTTTCTGCTGGTGTTAGGCAGTTTTTACTGAAGAAATGTCCCTGTTCTCAAATGGCGAAGCGGGATGCAATCCCTGCGCCTCCGGTTTCAGGCACACTCTTCTGCGCACCCGGTCTGCCCCGGACGTGGGTGCCTGCTCCCTCTGTGGGCTCAGACTGCTGGTCGGAAGGGGCCTGGCGTGGAATAACTTCCCGGCTGGCCACTGGGTCCTCCAGAAACCTTCTGCCCTTTTCAAGCAGTCTTAAGAAATGTCCTGTTTTATAGGGTGTTAGTGACTTTTTTTTTTCTCCTGGTCGCTAGGTGGCGCCAGAGATCTCTCCTATTGTCCTTGGGGGGCTGTTTTTCGCCTCCCCCACCCCGTGGGACAGAGAACAGAGCGGGAATGGTAGGGTACACCTCAACAGCTTTGGGGTGCTGTGTCTGCCTTGTGCCCCACCGTCGTGGAGAAACCACGCCCCGAATTTTCGTGCCCTGGGTCTCAGTTCAAAGCCCTCAGTTCCAGGATGCGGGCTGTAGCCCAGTTCAGTGGCGCGGGAATGGCGCCTTTTGCGCAGCTCCCGTGCCTGGGCGCCTGGTTCCTGCTCACTCAGGGAGGGACCTTCACCTCAGTGAGGACCTCCGGGCGTCTCCCCGCAAGCCTAGGTCGTCTCCCAAGCCTAGGTCGCAGGCGCGGGGACCTGGGCAGCCGCGATCCAGGTCTGCACTTGCTTTTCAAGCGCGCCTAGCACGCTGCGTTTCCGCACCAGCTTACCGGCAGCCCGGGCTGTGTGCGCGTCTCCCGGGGTCTTTGTTCTTCTCTAATGGCGCCCGGAGCCGTTCGCTCACCACCGCGGCGGATCCTGCAGGGTTCGCCTCAGCTCCCGTTCACGGGGTGTGGTGGCTGCAATAGTTCCTTTCCGCTCACAGTCCCGCTTGCTGCATCGTTTGTTCTTGTGGGCCGTTTTGGTTTGTTGTTTCCTCCTCTCTGCCGGTCGGAGAGTGCCGCCTCTGTGGGCGGGGGAGGGGAGCAGGGTTCTGCGCTTCCCTCCCTTCTAGTCCTCTTTTATGGCCAGTTTCTTCTTCGGGCAGTTCGCTGGCGTCACCCGTTTATCTTCCGTGTCCCAGTTCTCACTGGGACCTGCCGCTTTTCCTCCCTATTCACTTTTTTTAATGGGAGATCTTACTCGCAGCGTCTCCTCGCCGCCATGTTGCTCCTCCATTGTGTATATGTACCACATCTTCTTGATCCAGTCATCTATTTTTGGGCATTTGGGTTGCTTCTATACCTTAGCTATTGTAAATAGTGCTGCTATAAACAGGGGTGCAGGTGCCCTTTGGAATTACTGTTTCTGTGTCATCTGGGTAAATACCTAGGAGTGGAATTGCTGGATCATATGGAAGCTCTATGTTTAGTAGGTCCAGAAATCTCCACACAGCTCTCCATATAATAAAATCTCACCAGTTTGCACTCCCACCAGCACTGCAGGAGAGTTCCTTTTTCTCCACAACCTCGCCAACATTTGTTGTTGCTAGTTTTTTTAATATGTGCCATTCTCACTGGTGTAAGATGGTATCTCATTGTAGTTTTGATTTGCATTTCCCTGATGACAAGTGATGTTGAACATTTTTTCATATGCCTCTTGGCCATTTGCATTTCTTCTTCAGAGAAGTTTCTTTTTAGCTCTTCTGCCCATTTTTTGACTGGATTATTTTCTTTGTTTTTGTTGAGTCTCATCAGCTCTTTGTAGATTTTTGTGATCAGTCCTTTATTGTTAGTGTTGTATGGAAAAATTTTCTCCCAGTCAGTGGGGTTTCTCTTTGTTTTTGTTATTGTCTCTTTTGCTGTGCAGAAGCTCTTTAATTTGATGTAGTCCCAGCTGTTTATCTTTGCCTTCACTATCACTGCTTTGGGTGATGTATCTGTAAAGATGTCTTTGAGGTGCATGTCATGTAGTGTTTCGCCTATATTTTCTTCTATGTATTTTATGGTTTCAGGTCTTATGTCTAATTCTTTAATCCATTTTGAGTTGGTTTTTGTGCATGGTGTGAGGTAGTGGTCAAGCTTCATTCTTTTGCATGTAGTGACCCAGTTTTCCCAGCACCATTTATTGAACAAACTTTCTTTGCTCCAATGCATAGTCTTTGCTCCTTAGTCAAATACTAGTTGACCATAAATCTGTAGGTTTATTTCTGGATTTCTATTCAATTCCATTGGTCTGTGTGTCTGTTCTTGTTCCAATACCATGAAGGTTTGATGATTATGGCTTTGTAGTATAGTTTGAAGTCTGGGAGAGTGATGCCTCCATTCCCTTCTTTTTTTTTTCAGAAGAGCTTTGTCTATTCGGGGCTTTTGGTGGCTCCATATGAATTTCATCAATACTTGTTCTATTTCTTTGAAGAATGTCATTGAAATTTTTATTGGAATAGCATTGAATCTGTATATTGCTTTTGGTAGGATGGCCATTTTGATGATGTTAATTCTTTCAATCCATGAGCAGGGGATGTCTTTCCATTTCTTTGTGTCTTCTTCTATTTCTTTTAACAGTGTTTTATACTTTTCTTTGTATAGGTCCTTTACCTCTTTTGTTAGATTTATTCCCAAGTATTTGATTTTTTTGTTTTGATAATAAAAGGGATGTTTTTTTTAATTTCTTCTTCTTCAGATTTATTGTTTGTGTATAGGAAGGCTACTGATTTTTGTGCGTTGATTCGTATCCTGCCACTTTACTAAACTGATGATTAGTTGAATTAGTTTTTCTGTGGAGTTTTTGGGGTTCTCTATGTATATTATCATATCACCTGCTAATAGTGATAGTTTAACTTCTTCTTTTCCTATTTGGATTCCTTGTGGTACTTTGAGTATGTTAATGGTCGCTGTCACAGAATATTTCCTCCTTCTGTGTTTAATTACAAAGGTGTATCTTGAAGTCTCACAAACTTCCCTAGAGGTGGGGCAGCTGGATTGCACTCTGGGTTCCAAAAAAACTGGATCCCCTCTGGGGTCCAACTTCCTGCCAGGTGGGACCAGGCTTGTGGGGGCCTTCAGCTCACCTCTGACTGCACAGGGAATCTTCCCCCTCTGGCTCCGTGGGGAGCCTTCTGCCAGTTTCAAGCAGTCTTTATTGAAGAAAGGTCCCTGTTCTAAGATGGCGATGCAGGGGACGCACTCCCTTGCATGCCGGGTCTGCCCCGGTTGTGGGTGCCCGCTCCCCCTCTGGGCTTGGACTGCTGGCCAGAAGGGGCCTGGCATGGGCGAACTTCCCAGCTCACCTCTGGCTCCACCAGGAGCCTTCTGCCAGGAACCAGTTGTTTTTATTTTACTTCTGGAATAATTGTTTCTCTAAAACTATTAGCAGCCCCGCCTACTTTCATTACTTAGTTACTACATCTTGTAAGTGCCTGCTGCTTCTCTGTAGGGTATTTAAGATATCATGTGTGACAAAGATGCTTTTTATTTTTAAAACCAGCCCAAATCATATGCAGACTTGCAGACTAATTGTCTTAACGGATATGATCTTGAAAAGCTAATTTAAATAACAGCCTGTTTGCAATAAATGTATACTGCTTCAAAATTATATTTTAGAAAAATGATTTTATTTATTTTTAGGAAGAGTCTACATTTCATCTCAGCCACATGTTGAAAGAAAATCACTACCTTGTTGAACTACACGTGTGTAAGCATGGTATTAAAAATTGTGGTATGAAACAGTTATGTGATGCACTGTATCTGAACAGTAGTCTACGTTACCTTGATGTCAGCTGGTAAGTGGTTATTTACACATTTAGTAATTCAAGTTACATCATGGGAATAATCCATGTATTCATATAACGTAGAATGCTCTGTTATATTGATTTCATTGTCGACTTTTCACTCTAAGTCTCAGTATTTATTTAGTTTATACAACTATCTCTTAATAACTTGAGTTAGCAATTTAATTGCATAAATTGGAATGAAAGCAATATTTTATGGCAATTTTTTACTAACTTTTTTGAGTGAGTAAAATCTTCACTAAAATAGAAATTACTGTGTATTACAGAATTTCAAACATATTTTCTATATGAATAAAAGAATAATACTTCATATTTTCAAATATAAATTTTTTCCTTTCCCAGCAATAAAATAACTCATGATGGAATGGTGTTTTTGGCTGATGTACTGAAAAGCAACACTACCCTGGAAGTAATAGATCTTTCTTTCAACAGAATAGAAAATACAGGAGCAAACTATCTCAGTGAATCACTCACAGCACACAACAGGAGTCTTAAAGCGTTAGTATGGTTTTATATTTATTCAAAATAATAGTTAAAAACTAATTTTTGGAATACTAATTTTAAACCTCCTAACTCATAATACTCATGATGAAATATGGAAACTCAGTACTAATGAGTTACAGTACTAATGAGTTACTAATGAGTTCAATTTCTTGTTTTTCAAAATTTAATATTTAAAAATTAGACTAACTCTATGATCACTTAAGGTTAATGAGAAAATTCTTATTGCTTTTATTATTTTTACTGAATTCTAATAGAAAAATCATAATCATTCAATATAATCAAAGACTTAAATAAAATCTATTTGGATGACTTTATCCTGAAAAATATCTGCAGTTCACCTCAAACAATGACTAAATAATACAAAACAACAGTCAGTTTCTAAAATGTAGATAGTTCTACTAGGTATAGGAAGCATCCAGTTAGGAAATTAAGTTTTTTGAGTTTTAGCAATGACATGGCCAGTATTTGACGATTACATACTGAGGAAGAATGTTGACTTTTCACAATAAAGTGTTTGTAATACCTGTTGCTGCTAGCTTATACATTCTCTTTGCAGAACTGTTGATTTCCAGGGTTATTGTTGTTTTTCTGTAGGCTGTCAGTTGTCAGCAACAGCATAGAAGGAGAAGGGCTTGTTGCACTTTCACAGTCAATGAAAACAAATCCCATATTCTCTCATATCTATATTTGGGGAAACAAATTTGATGAGGCTACATGTGTGGTAAGTGGTTTTTTTTTTTTCATGAGGCTTTTTCTGGGAACTTCTTTATAACGCTGGATATTATTTACATTTAGGAATGTTTACAGAGTGATCAAAGCTGTAGCTTTGATAGTTTAAACATAAGTCCTAAAAATTAGCTACTGGAACATTTTGTGGATGAAATAGCCAAAGATAAAAGATTCCACATACTAGTATAAAGACCTGTGAGTTAAATAGCCCCAGTTCCTCCAAAATTAAAAATTCACGATCGTTGACTTATGAATTTGATGTGGCCAAATCTCCATTCTGTTCCCCAATATAAAACCACAACACAGAATTTGGAGAGCTATAACACAAACTCTTAGAATATTTACTATGTTTATGTAAGTACAGAGAGCACTTCATACTACTTTCATAACAAACAAAAACAGTAAGTAGTTTCATTTGGAAAAAATGAAGAAAAAGATGTTAAAGTTCTCAAATTTGCAAAATGACTAAAATCTCTACCACTAAGAAAGTAGTACACTACTGTTTGAAAAATAAACCCTATGGGGCCTCCCTGGTGGCGCAGTGGTTGAGCGCTGGGTTGCGAGAAGCTGCCCACAGCCTCTGCAGCGCCGGTTTGATCCCCAGCTGCTCCCCGGCCACCGGAGGAGGATCCCACATGGTGCGACAGACCTCCCCTGCTGCCCGCTGCTCCCCTCAGCAGTGTACTTCGGTCCTTCTGCCTGCTCTGCTCCCTGCTCTGGCTCTGGTGAATTCTCTCACCCTCCCGCGCTTCTGACTATACCCAGTGCTTGTATAAATAAATCTTTAAAACAAAATAGTTTAAAAAAATAAAGTAAATAAAAAATAAATCCTAATTTTAGAAAAAACATCCATATCCTTTAGTAGTTCTACACACTAAAAGCTGAGTAAGTTGAGTTTGGAACGAATAACAAGCTAAAGCAGAAAGTAACTCTACTTTAAATCCTTGTCTAAATTTATACCTTTCTTTATAGTCACAACCTTACTGACAAATCAGTTCAACATGTTTGTAATAATGCCCTTACATAGATAGCAATGACCCTTAACACATACAAAGAAAATGCTACAATCTGGAAATTAGGCAACCAGCCAGGCCAGCATCTTACACTCTGGGAATTGTCTCTCTGAGTCTAACTCTAGATTAGCCTCTAGGGACTCATAAACTCCATACAGTTATATACTAAAATCTGAGGCTGTTTATTTTTCTGAGGAATGGGTCCCTGCCTATCATCAGAACTATTTTTTTTAAAGATTTATTTATTTATGCACACAAGAACTGGGGTTCAGGACAGAGGTGGGGGGAGGTGAGAGGATTCACCAGAGACAGAGTGGGGAACAGAAGAGGCAGATTGACTGAAATACACTGCTGAGGGCAGCAGCGGCAAGTCAGGTCTGCTGTGCCCTGTGGGTAGCTCCCTGGCCAAGGATCGAACTCGTGCTGCAGTGGCTGAGGATAGCTTCATATGTTGAAGTCTTAACACCTTGTACCACGAGGGAGGCCCTATCATCAGAACTTTAAATGTATATATAGACCCCCCTTTTCAGTTAAGAACCCCTATAGGACTGTAAAATTTTAACCATAAGCCCTTCTGTCTAAAAATAGGTGATACAGAGCTATTAACTCTGGGAGTTATAAACTAACAAAACATGTCTAATAATTAAAACTTAGAAAATTTGCAAAGTAAAATTTCATTGCATGGAATTGAATGAATAAAAATCTGTCTATACCTGGAAAATATTAAAATTCAGCAGTACTACTCAGAATATTTTAAACTGCAAATTAATTTGGATATCAAAATAATTTTCAGTACTATGAAATGAATATACTATTTTTTTAATGACATGGTTTCTTTTCTAAAAAATTCTAGGCATATTCAGACTTAATTGAAATGGGCCGTCTAAAACCAGACAATACAGATGTGGGGCCATATGTGGTAGATGGACGTGTGTATCTTGCAGAAGTATCTAATGGCCTGAAAAAACACTACTACTGGACACCAACTTATGGAACATCCGGTAGCCACTCATCTACTAATGCAGGTTTCACTCTTGTACCTGTAGGTCAACATCTGTGAAAAACATCTTGAAGAGTTTTCACGTATTTATCTTACCACTTTCACAGAGATTAATACAATTTATAACCCATTAGATTTTTCTTTCATAAATTAGGACAAATTACTTTTGTCAAATGTGTAAAAAATATGACTATATTAACCTTTATATAATTGTTCATTGTGAAAAGAGTAGTATAATTTTTTAAAAAATTTTATAAAATAGAGACTTAAAATTTTAAGCCTAGAGAAAGAAGTTAACAAACTGGTTTCTTTTCAAAATGAAAAGAACCAAGTAGTGAAACAGGATATAAGGAAAGGGATTATATGTATCTTAACTGAAAGTTGTCATGATTTTATATATTTAGGTATGACAAATAGGAATTGATGCAATCTCACAAATACAAAGACATACATATATATACACATATACACAAATACATATAAACAAATGTATACTTTCCAAACAAATCAATGCTGCTGTGGAAAATTTTTTAAATAGTTCCCTTTCAAAGGAGCCAATAACAATTTAATGATTTTATGGCAAATTAATATTGTCATCATGGCCAATCTTATTTTCAAATTAATTTTCCTATGAAGGGGTAGTAGGCACAATGTCTTTTGATTACAGACCTATATTCACAAACTTTATTAATTTATATATATCAAGAATGATTTATTACTGCCCAAGTCAGGCAAAGTATGAAAAAAATATGCGGACAATTTAAAAATTTTATTTTAAATAAAGCTGAGTTTCTATAAGTCTAAAATACCATCTATCTAAATTTAGAAAGTGAAGACACAGAATAAAGGAGATGGTCAACTGTAGAGTTGTCGAAGTATTAATCTTCACTAAAAGTATTGTGAATTCCTTAGAACACAGCTGTAATTATTCTAAAAAATTAACATTACAAAAAATTACATCTGCCATTGTCCATTCTTTCAGTAAACTAAAGACAAATATCCCCCACTCACCATTTTAATGATTTTTAAAAGCTTAACAGATTTTTCCTTATATTCAGCACATAATAACTTTCCTTACACCCTGGGTTGGGGGTAAGAGGGTGTACAGATGGCGATAGTGGTGATGAAATGGGAAGAGCATCTGAATAAACTGTGTGAGGCTTTATTTTCACTTTATAAATAGGCACTGAGCCAAGAAAGACCTAAATGCCTTATCAATCCATTTGTGTGCTCTTAGAGATGAATTTGAATCTTCCAGGACAAATGGTTGCTGCTGCATTGGCTCTCTGCTGATAAATGAAACCTTAAAACATCTGGAGTACTTGAAAAATATGCAGCAGTTCATGTTAATGATATCACAATGTGTGAAATGGATTTCAAGGTTTTTAGATAAATCTTGTTTATATGTTACATTAAAGAAAACCACTACAATCTTATAATGCAATTTTAGAAATAATGACCTTCCATTGATGCAAAAAATGTTATTGAAGATTTGTTGTCAATAAATGTTTACAGTGGGAACAAAAGCGTATAAACCACAGAATGCTACAAGGAACTTTATCCTGACATTTATACAGGTTGATTTTACCAGTTACTGACTTTACTCTTGTTTTTTTTGTTTTTTTTTTTTAATAAAACCTTACTTGGCAATGTTCTCCATGCTTCAAATCTTGTTTTCTTTTTATCTTAAGATCTTTCCTCTGAAAATATAAACATGATCTTTTTTTTCCTTACCAACATTTTTTACATTATTACATGCTGACTGTATCTATAATTAAACATCTGTATCTAAAAAGGTTAAACATCCCAGGAAAGTTAAGTGTCTATATATTGTTAGAAATGCAATAAAAAATTAGTACTTCTTTTGTCTTTTAATAAAATTTTGAAAAATCAATTGATGCAATAGAACCATGGTACAGAAAAAAATATGAATTTTTTAAACAATTGTCATTACATTTGGAAAACATTTAGCTGGTGAAGTAATGCTACTCCTAGCAATTAGAGAGTCTCAATAGCTGGGACTTTTATAACAATGTGACAACTGTCTTATATTTGCTACAAATGCTAAATCAGCTTTATTTAAAGTGTGAAGCATGACCCTCACCTGGCAAATGTTTAAAAATACATCTTTTTAGATTTACACCTACTGAATCAAAATTTGTGATAGTCTGGGGAATCTGCATTTTAATAATCCAGGTTGTTTAATCTTGGTCTATTAAAGAATCAGTGCTCTTTTTCTCACTCAAATTACATACACATACACACACACTTTTAAAAGGAAATGTAATCATTCAGAAAATACACAAATCTGAAATGGAGAATTATCACAAAGCTAGCACATCTGTATATGCCATCTGCACATACCCAGATAAATGCCACAAGCTTCCTAGTAGTTCCTCCAACCCTCTTCCTATACAAACCACTATCCTGACTTGTACCATCAAAGTAATTTTTGCCTGTTTTCAACTGTAATATAAATGGAATCACAGTATAAAATTTTTGTATGACTTCTTTTCAATATTACAATATGAATGTGATTCATTTAAAGTAGTCCATTCATCCTTCATTGCTTTCAAGTATTCCACAATATGCAGGTTAGGAGAGGAATCTCCAGGATTCTGGGAAGAGACATAGACTCTCAACCTCGTACGCAGCCACCTCAAAGCAAACTGAGTAATGTGGTTTGCTTTCCTAGCCTGCTCTTGTCCTGTGAAAAGAACCCATGAGTTTCCCAAGAAGACTCAGAAGGGAGCAAAGCGGGAAGCAAGCAGACTTATCTTGAGTTTACAGAGAGGTGTCATATGCTAAACCCACACCCTGACCTTTGCTGGATGTTTGAGCAGTTGCAAAAGTGGCAGTTCTCTGTGCCCAAGAAACTGAGGTGAGGCCAGTTGAGCCAAGAACTACTGGACTTTGACCAGGCTAGAAAAAATGTGATCGTGTGCTTTATAAGCTGTTACCTATTGCATCAGAGGCCATAGAATGGAGGGCCGGAAGACAAGATTTCCCCAATGCCAGGTTGCCACTTAAGCCCACTGCTGTATATATTTGGACACATATTTTTTAGAGAATACAAAGGGCAGACATAAGAGTTTTCCAAAAGTTTAAGCCTTACCTTAAAATATAATCTACAGCTCCTTTATATCACAGTAGGTCTTAAACTGGCTAAGACTAAAAGTTTATTTTTTTTAGAATTCTCACTGGGTAGAGGCTCAAGGACATGCACGTTTTGCAGGAAAACTCCACTTTCTCTGCATTATCTGAGCTGTAAATTTGCTACTCTATTTTTTTTTATGTGTTCAGTTTCCTTCCATTTCCCCCTTAGCAATCATTCTTTAATATCCAGCTCAGTCTCAGATTAGCTGTTGCAGATCACAAAAAGCAAAAAAGAAAAAGTTTATATTTTTCAGGTATTTGAGTTTGTCTCACATAGTCCGCTTTTCAGACTAAACAGCTTTACATCTTAATATCTACTATTCAAATCATATCCATCTGGTTTCTACTATTATAGCTGCCTTCTCAGAGGATCATCATGCTCAATATGTCCCCAGTGGTGGCTCTGATTTGAGTCCTATTGCTCCACATGTGCCCAGCAAAGTGTTACTCCTCTTTGTGGGGTTTGCACCACCCTGGTTTTTTGTTACCACTTTCCATTTCCTTTTCTCTTTTGCTCATTAGCTGCATTTCCCCCAATATTTCATCCTCATTTTTTCCCCCCTCATCTCCCGGGCCTACAATCATTTCTATTAATTATTACCCTTATCTGCAAGGTCTGTATCTCTAGTTTTAACTCTTACTGTTTCAGGCTCCGACTATTACTAGACATTTTCATGTGTTTACCTCACCACTAATCAAATTCAGTATATCCAAAATTCTTCCACAAACCTCAACTTGTCTTCCCTGTCACAATGACATCACCATCTTTATCACCAAGGATGAAAACATAGGTGTCGAAGGGCATGGTCTAATTGCAAGCAACAAAAAGCGATCGAAGCCTATTGAAGGGGGATTTACAATAAGGTGAAGATCAGTGGCATCCACAGACAAGGAAATGAAGCATACTATCATAGCTCAAAAATGGGATTACAAAGCCTAAACGAAGGCCACCCACTTCTATTTCTAATTAGGATTTCAGTTTCTTGGTCCTTTAAACCTGCTTCATACCCTTAGATCTGCACGTCAGCGTTTTCTGCTAATTCAACATTTCCTTTAGACTTTGGCTTGTTTCATTGACTCTGGGCCAGTAGAAAGACTCTGACTGGCTCAGTCTGAGTTCAAGAAGAATTCTATTTCCTTGTTAAAGTGTCTGGTGGCAAGATCACAAGCATGGATCACAAGCGTTACAAACGTGGCTGTCTAATCCTGACTCTTCAACAATCAACTGTAGTTCGGTGTGTGAAATCATGAGTTCTAAACCTGGCTCTCTAACTCCACTCCTATAGCACAGGCTAAGGGCACAGAAAACATTTAATTAAGACTGTGGGTACAGTCCTGAACCTATCTTTGACTCCTATCTTCTTTCCATTTTGTATTTTCCATCCAGCATCTCAGTCAGCGGTGTCTAATTTCTCCCATTAGCCGTGTCATTTGCCTATCCACGGGAACAAGGGCCCGTTCTCTGTCCATTCAACATCCCTTGACTGCTTCAACATTTCCCTTCATGCCTTCCTGCATGACAACACTGAATATTCTGGCTTTTAAAAAAAATTTTAAATAATTTTTTAAAAGATTTATTTATTTATGTATACAAGAACTGGGGTACAGGTCAGAGATGTGGGGGCTGAGAGGATTCACCAGAGACAGAGTGGGGAACAGAACAGGCAGACTGACTGAAATACACTGCTGAGTGGGGCAGTGGGTGAGTCAGGAGAGTCTGCTGTGCCATGTGGGTAGCTCCCTGGCCAGGGATTGAATTCGTGCCACAGTGGCTACGGATTGCCCATAGGTTGTATCCTAACCCCTTGCACCACCAGGGAGGCCCTCTGGCTTGTTTTGTTGCTAGTAAAATTTATGCGTTGTCTTTCCCACTGATTGTAAAGTTAAGGACGGAGTTTATCTTATCTTGTAGCTTTGTGTATTCTGACTTCAATACTTTTTCAGCATTTAAAATCCTGACAAGGCATTTTAATACAAGTATCTTTTCACATCCATGCTGTTTCATTTTAGTATATATTATTCTTGAATTAGATATCCTATTCTGGATAGTGACTATGTTTATCTGATAATTATCTAATTCCTTCAACAAATACACTGAATCTCTCACATGAATGCAGCTAGGGTTTGCTGAGGACAGATGAGTAGACCACATATCACTGTCTCAAGAAATTAATGGTTTGATAACTAAATATTAACATTGTTCATGTTAATAAAATTTAAAGACAATGACTACAACATTCTTACTTGGTAGTATTTCTAGCTAAACTCTGAAGAGTCAAATTCACTCACTGAGTGAAAGATGGAAAATAATACAACAGGCTTCATTTTTCAATGTTTTCCAAAGGCAGAAAATCAAGAAATGTTCAGAATAGTTTTCAATTTTGATATACATTAAAATCACCTAGAGTTTGATTAAGTAGGCCTAAGGAAGAACATGGATATTGGTATTTTTAAAAATGTTTGTGATATATATTCAAATGTTGGAACTATTACTCTTTTTTAAAATGAGTATATGTACATTGTTTTTGAGTACATTTCAACTACTCTCATCGGTACCACTTCTGAAATATAAAATTTACTGTTGCAACATTTTCTTTTGAAAAAAAATTCTAGGGCCTCCCCGTTGGCGCAGCAGGTTGAGAACAGCGCTGTGAAGCTGTCCACAGCCGCTGAGGGTTGGTTCGATTCCTGGCCAGCCAGAGAGAAACCCACATGGCGGGGCAGACCTCTCCTGTCTTGCCCGCTGCTCCCCTCAGCAGTGTTCTCAGTCTGTCTGCTTGTTCTGCTCCTGCTCTGTCTCTGGTGAATCCTCTCACCCTCCCATGCCTCTGGCCTGTACCCCAGTTCTTATATAAATAAATCAATCTTTTTAAAAAAAAAGAAAAAAAAATTCTAAAATTTATCAAAATCATGCTGTGAAATGAAACGAAACAAATACCATTTAAAAACAGCAATCAGGGCCTCCCAGTGGCGCAGCGGTTGAGTGCTGGGTTGTGAAGCTGCCCGCAGCCTCTGCAGCGCCAGTTTGATACCCGGCCGCCAGGCGAGGGTCCCACATGGTGCAACAGACCTCTCCTGCCGCCCGCTGCTCCCCTCAGCAGTGTACTTCAGTCCTTCTGCCTGTTCTGCTCCCTGCTCTGGCTCTGGTGAAGTCTCTCACCCTCCCGCGCTTCTGACTGTACCCAGTGCTTGTATAAATAAATAAATCTTTAAAAAATAATAAAATAAAAAAAGCAATCATTTCTGTACAATCTGTGCTTTCCTTATCTTAAAAAGCCTAAAACCGGGGTCTCCCTGGTGGCACAAGGGGTTAAGACACAACCTATGAAGCTGTCCGCAGCCTCTGCAGCATAAGTTCGATGCCTGGCTGGCCAGGGAGCAACCCACATGGCATAGCAGACCTCTCCTGACTCACCCGCTGCTCCCCTCAGCAATGTACTTCAGTCTATGTGCCTGTTCTATTCCCTACTCTATCTCTGGTGAATCC